ATTACCTGTGTATGGTGTGACAGGTCAGAGAAAATGCATGATTTTTAACGTCATCCCCAAAAATTACCTGTGTGACAGGTCAGAGAAAAATGCATGATTTTTAACCTCTTCCCCAAAATTTACCTGTGTATAGTGTGACAGGTCAGAAAAAATGCATGATTTTTAACCTCTTCCCAAAAAATTACCTGTGTGACAGGTCAGAGAAAAATGCATGATTTTTAACCTCTTCCCCCAAAATTACCTGTGTATAGTGTGACAGGTCAGAAAAAATGCATGATTTTTAACCTCTTCCCAAAAAATTACCTGTGTGACAGGTCAGAGAAAAATGCATGATTTTTAACCTCTTCCCAAAAATTTAACTGTGTATAGTGTGACAGGTCAGAGAAAATGCATGATTTTTAACGTCATCCCCAAAAATTACCTGTGTGACAGGTCAGAGAAAAATGCATGATTTTTAACCTCTTCCCCAAAAATTTACCTGTGTATAGTGTGACAGGTCAGAGAAAATGCATGATTTTCTCGTTTTGAGAAGTTTACCAAAGCTGATACTCGAAACTGATAATTGTCAACATCTCAACATTAAAACACTACAAAGTTACATTTTGTAACTTTCAAACATACTTCCTGCAACAAAGGAGTTAAAAATGCCAACCCACAAAAAGAAGCACTCTTCTCAGTATTATTTAATTATTATTTTAAGAGATAAAAAGCCAGGCGCGTGATTTTGTTCACAATAGGATAGAGACCAAGCAATGTTATTCTCCTCCGAGATTTCTTTCGTCTAGGTCACGTTGCTTCCGAGATTTCAATTCTCATTCTACTTTTGAGGTCAGACACAGAAGTAGATTAAAGATAAACCAGCAGCTAGTACGATAACGGCTTTTGAATGTTAAGCTTACATGTATTACATTTTCAGTTACATAAAACTAGCATATATTCGTATATGTAAATAGGCTGTTACATGAGAAAAAATAAGAGCACGCACACATTTGTATATATAAAAAGATTGTTATAAAAGAAAGAAAGAAAAAAGAAAAGAAAGAATTCACATACATTTGTATATAAAAGAGAGAGTTAAAGAGAAAAAAATGATCATATAGATCCGTATGTATACAGAGACGGTTTTAGTAAAAAGAAAGAAAAAAGTCACACACATATAGGTATATATGAAGTGACGGTTAGGGGGGGAGAAAAAGTCACAAACATGTTTATGTATACAGAGATGGTTAGAGAGAAAAAAGAAATCTCACATACATTCGTATATATGAAAAGACGGTTATAGAAAGAAAAAAAAGGAAAAAAGTCACACACATTTTTATATAGAGAGAGATGATTATAGTAAAAAAAACAGAAATCTCATATACATATGTATATACAAAATGACGGTTACAGAAAGAAAAAGTCACATAAATGCTTATATAGAGAGAGAGATGGTCATAGGGAAACAAAATCTCACATACATCTGTATACATAAAAAGACGGTTATAGAAAACAAAAGAAAAAAGGCACAGACATGTTTATAGAGAGAGAGATGGTTATAGGGAAAAGAAAGAAATATCGCATACATCCGTATATATAAAAAGACGGTTATAAAAGAAAAAAAAGGAAAAAGTCACACACATTTTTATATAGAGAGAGATGGTTATAGGGACGAAAAAAAGAAATCTCACATACATAAGTATATACAAAAAGACCATTACAGAAAGAAAAAATTCACACAAATGTTTATATATAGAGAGATGGTCATAGGGAAAAAAGAAATCTCACATACATCCGTATACATAAAAAGACGGTTATATATATATATATATATATATATATATATATATATATATATATATATATATATATATACCGAAGTATAGGATTGGTGTATACGGAATAAATTTCAATAACCAAAACGTACTATTCTTAAAAGAGTGCTCAATACAGAGTAGATCAAATATAATTTATTCGAAAATTATAACATAAATATGTTATAAAATCACTACAAAAATAGCCATTTTGTTTCAACACTTCTGATATATATATATATATATATATATATATATGAATGATCAAAACTAAAAAATCACATAACAATAATAATTCAGAAGCGTGCATATATAAAATATATTGGCAAAATTTTTCCTCACAATAAGTTGGGGAAACATGAAACATTTTAAAAATACGTATCTATGAAAACAAATAGGTCATAACGATTTATCAAATTCACTAATCATAAAAAAATAAATCCAACTACAATTTTGATCTAAAAAATGCCACACTCATCAAAAGAGAAATTGTAGAGGACTGTGTGTGTATTTACGTGTTGTATTAGAAACACGTGTGTAACTCCTGGTAGAATATTAAAAGGCCCAACTACATGAAAATTGGCGGACTTAATTTGTCTAACCGAAAATGAAAGACAAACAAGCCATATATATATATATATATATATATATATATATATATATATATATATGTCAACAAATATGTATTAAACAAATTACAAGGCACATAGACATAACATTTGTGAGTGTGGAAACATTGGTGTTTCTTCTTTGGTGAATATTCGTACGTACGTGTATATTTGTAATGTTCATAGCGTTTTCCCAGAAATGAGTAACGCTGATCTTCTAAGAGCATATATCTTGTCTCTAAAATGAAGAAGAAAGAGAGATTTACCTCACCGCTACCCGAGGTGGGATTCGGCACGAGGCCTGAAGGAAAAAGAGAAAGAGGCAATAAGTTTCCCAGTATTTATAGTATGGAGAGAGAGAGACCCCTGGTGAAGAATTAGGGAACTAAGGAGAAGGTAACTCCTACAAAAGTAATTTACTCAGAAGACAATTTCTTGAGTGTCGCTGTCGTATCTTTTCCTTGTTTCTTTCCAATCTCACCCTTTCTGAAAAAAATATTACATTTCTAAGCCAACATACACGACCAAAAAAATGTTGAAAAATCAAAAGAAAACAGTTAAATCCATGAGCTCCTGTTTTTGAAGATGTCTAGCACATACGTCCATCACAAACCATAATCATCGGATCACAATTTTAAACACTAGTCATTACAATATATATATATTTTAAAAATATTACTAGCTTACTTTTTACCAGACTTTGAATTATGACACATTGCGTCCCCCATATGTTTTGACTAACCTTTCAACCACCAGACGAACATTTATGAACTTTCTCAAATTCAAAAGCCATTGACATCCTCGCTTTTGCATATAAATAAATCCTACGTTGCATTCATAAAGTGCTTAAGAGGACGAAACGCGTCGGCTAAAAATAGTTTTCTCCCTTGTCTTTTTATTAATTTTGTTCTTTTACAGATACAAACTACATGAAAATAATTCATATATATCGACAACAATACCTCTTTTATACAAGCTTCTTTAAAGATGACTGACAAGGTACTGCGGTTAAGCTTTTTTATTTTATTTTTCTTCTGTTCGTACCAGTGTTTTCTTTTCTGGGCACAAAGTGTGTAAAAACTGTCCAAAAGTTATGTATTTCCGAGAGCTTTCGGTTATAATTTTAGCCATTATCAAGGATAATTCTATTTTACTTTTAACTTAATAACTTTATATATATATATCACAAATTACGTAAAAATTAATATCATTTACCGTATTTTAAGGCCGGCAGAATTTTTGCCAAAAATGTGCTCAACATATATATTTTAATTTTATTGTTTATACGTTATTTTTACAGATAAAAATTATTTAAGCAAATGCTTTTTATAATAAGCAGTATTAACAACATTTACCGACCTGAATATCGAGAAATTTCATAGAAAATATGTGTCCTCTAATTGGAATCGAACGTGTATCCTACACGGAAAATATATATATATATATATATATATATATATATATATATATATATATATATATATATATATATATATATATATATATATATATATATATATATATATACGCACTTCTCTGTAGCTTCCTATATATATATACTACGCACTTCCTCTGTAGCTTAATGGTGTAGCACGTCAGTTTAAATGATGGTTCCATGTAAGATACAGGTTCGATTCAGTTAGAGGACACATATTTTCTATGAAATTTTTTTTTATATATATATATATATATATATATATATATATATATATATATATGTATGTAAGAAAGGTAGGCATAGATGGGCTGGGGGTTTATTAGAGTGACAGAGTGGGAACTAAGGCAGTGGAAAAGGCAAGATAGCGCGACTATCTGGCCCGATACCCCGCTCCAACATGGTTCAGAATGACCAGAGCTAGCAAGTGTTGAAGATCAACGAGGGAGCGGTCCCTCCAAGACGTACGAGAATGATTTGGATTTGTGCATATATATAAACAAGACCAAACAAAGAAAACAAGTAGAAACAATGTAAGAAAACCTTTCATTTTATACTAATGCTCTATCTCTTGTTATCAAGCACTCAAATTACAAAGACTCTGCTTGTCTTAAAAACATTATCTCCCAAAATTATCCATGTCGATCGATTTGGGGCGAGAACCATTCTTAGTTTTTATCTGAATTTTCGACGAGTTATCATTCTTCACACTATTTATATTCAGACTATTGTCGTCATCTTAGTTGTTATCACAATGTTCCGGCCATTGTACCCTCCGGCTTTCTTCAGGTGTGTATCGATTTGGGTAACCTACAGGAAATTCTAAACTGAACCCTTTATTAAATCTACTGGGGTAAACTGTTCTCATTACATTGCTCATGTCTACGGACATCGACTAGCTATTTTTGTTTTGTACTCTTCAGTTATTATTCACAACCACTATGTCACCAAATTCACAAACTAAGGCTTTTATTTACCACGAGACAATGGTCTAGTGGATAAATTAGCATTAGCATAAGCTGAATTTCACATGTTATATCTATCATAAAAATATCTTGATAAAAATCTTTAACATTCTGTTCATTCATATATATATATATATATATATATATATATAGAGAGAGAGAGAGAGATAGATATAGATATATCATTCTGTTCATATCTATGTTTTCCTTACATCTATTTGTCTGTCTGTCTGTCTGTCTGTCTCAGTCTGTTCATATCTATCTATCTATCTATCTATCTATCTTTATATATGTCTGTCTATCTGTCACACTTTATTCATATCTATCTATCTATCTCATTCTGATTATATCTATCTATCTGTCTGTCTCACGCTGTTCATATCGAACTATCTATGTTCTTCTCACATCTATTTATCTATCTCATTCTCTTCATATCTCTCTCTCTATCTATCTATCTATCTATCATTTTGTTCATATCTATGTCCTCCTCTTATCTATCTATCTATCTATCTCTATATATATCCATCTGTCTTTCATTTTGTTCATATCCAACTATCTATATTTTCCTCATATCTATCTATCTATCTATCTATCTATCTATCTATCTATCTATCTGACTCAGCCTGTTCATATCTATCTGCCTCAGTCTGTTTACATCTATCTATCTATCTATCTATCTCCATCATATATCAGAACGAGTGGCGGGCGTGAGATCGTCGCCTTCGAGAGAAATAAAACGGCGTGTAAATCGGCGACGTGAAAATTTCATTGGATTTGTCATTTCACGAATTAAACCAGGATATTTTGCCTACGAGTCCCTTGTTGGTGAAGCTCGGCAAGAAAAGACAATGAAATTTACACGAGCTATTATAAATGCAAGAGATAGTAGATGAGTCGTCTGCTTCTATTATTCCCTGTTTGGTGGTTATATTCCAACTAAAGCGTAAACTCAAGAACAGTATGACGCTGTAATGTAGGGAGAGTGCCAAAAATGGCTTCTGCCTGGCCAACTTACAAAAAAACCTTGCAGTCTATTTGTCTGTCGGAGGAATGTATATAAAAATCAAGGAGAAAAAATAACCGTGGGAAACCTGCTGAAACAAAATCATTATTGCAATGAAAATATTTGCTTTTCTTTATACAGATTTTTATAAAGTATAAACATATGCGTAGCTTCAAATCGGAAACGAGTTTTATTTAACAAACAAGAATGCAGGAGGTTATAAAAAAAAGGGTGATCAGTAATATATTCTATGAAATAACTAAACTTAACCCCCATTTATAGATCATGATAAATTCGTTTCTGTTTGAATTTCTGGAATGAGGTTTTATCATTAATTTTACATTATTTACACGGGAACTATTATCTTCATCTTTGTTGTTATCACAACGTTTCGGCTTTCCGGGATGAGGAATTATCATTATTTCCATTATTTACAGTCAGACTAATATCCTTATCTTTGTTGTTATTATCACAATGTTTTGGCTTTCTGGGATGATGAATTATCATTATTTCCATTATTTACAGTCAGACTAATATCCTCATCTTTGTTGTTATTATCACAACGTTTCGGCTTTCTGAGATGAGGAATTATCATTATTTACATTATTTACATTCAGACTAATATCCTCATCTTTGTTGTAATTATCACAATGTTTCGGCTTTCTGGGATGAGCAATTATCATTATTTCCATTATTTACATTCAGACTAATATCCTCATCTTTGTTGTTATTATCAGAATGTTTCGGCTTTCTGGGATGAGGAATTATCATTATTTACATTATTTACATTCAGACTAATATCCTCATCTTTGTTGTAATTATCACAATGTTTCGGCTTTCTGGGATGAGCAATTATCATTATTTCCATTATTTACAGTCAGACTAATATCCTCATCTTTGTTGTTATTATCACAACGTTTCGGCTTTCTGGGATGAGGAATTATCATTATTTACATTATTTACATTCAGACTAATATCCTCATCTTTGTTCTTATTTACAATCTAATCATTTATGTCCACAGTTCTTGTTCCGCTCGTCAAGTTTCCACTGAGTCCAAGTACACTTTGCCTGCCTTAGGGATTGAACTCGCAATTACTATGTCACCTAATACGAATTTAGCGACATAGTAATTGCGATGGCAACAGCCAAGAGGATTTCTTGGCAATTGGCCTGGGATCAAAGTGTAATATCTGTTCTCCTCATCTCTAATGATAATATTAGCCTTTTCCTTATAAGGAAACATTCAGCATTCATTGACCGAACTGCCAGTGCAACTCAAGTAAGCCTTTTCGTCACTTCCTGACCATTGGGTTGGGATCAAAGTGTAGTATCTGTTCTCCTCATCTCTAATGATAATGGTAATATTAGCGTTTTCCATATAAGGAAACATTCAGTATTCATTGACTGAGTAGCCAGTGCTACTCAAGTAAGGCTTTTCTTCACTTCCTAACCATTGGGATGGGATCAAAGTGTAGTATCTGTTCTCCTCATCTCTAATGATAATGGTAATATTAGCGTTTTCATTATAAGGAAACATTCAGCATTCATTGACCAAGCAGCCAGTGCTACTCAATTAAAGTTTTTCTTCACTTCCTGACCATTGGGCTGGAATCAAAGTGTAGTATCTGTTCTCCTCAACTCTAACGATAATGCTAATAATAGCCTTTTCCATATAAGGAAACATTCAGCTTTCATTGACCGAGCAGCCATTGGTACCCAAATAAGGTGTTTCTTCACTTCCTGACCATTGGGCTGGGATCAAAGTGTAGTATGTGTTCTCCTCACCTCTAACGATAATACTAATATTAGCCTTTTCCATATAAGGAAACATTCAGCTTTCATTGACTGAGGAGCCAGTGCTACTCAAGTAAGGCTTTTCTTCACTTGACAATACTATTTTCAGTTGATATTTATAAAATCTTTCTCTTAAAACTATTTTTCAAGAAAATAGGTTTCTTAATTCCAGTAACTGTTATTGCTCTTTCGAGGATTGATAGTGGTTTCCTTCCTAACCTTTTATTTTAAGTAGTGTAGAACGTCAACGTCTTGATTGTATAATTATTTTCTTTTCGAGTTACATGTGATATCAATTTTAGCTGTTGCTTCTGTTGCCAAGTGATGTGGTTTCTGTTATTTAGTACAGTTCTTTCTTTGTGATTCTGTAGCACCAGTCCACAAGGTTCAAAGAAGAATGGTCTTTGCCAAGACCCTCAAGGCTTCACTCACTCAAAGCCATTTTAACTGTTGCATGTCCTCAAGTGATGTGGTTTCTGTTATCTGGTACAGTTCTTTCTTTGTGATTCTGTAGCACCAGTCCACAAGGTTCAAAGAAGGATGATCTTTGCCAACACCCTCAAGGCTTCACTGGCTCAAAGCCTCTTTTAACCCCTGATCTTAGAATTCGGTTGTATACAGTTGAATGTTTAGATATTTCTGAACGGGTCTGGCACCATGTATGACATCCCCAGGAAAATCTCAATCTGGTATTTACCAATTCCACACCCTGTATTTTTATGATCATTTCATGGTAGGTGCCATCACTGCTTTCATTCCAATTCCAAGTCATGGTTTCTGTGTTTTAAAGGTTTATCTTGAGTCCCCTTTCTTGTAACACTTGATAGAGGATACCGATTTTCTGTTAAAACTGTAAACAAATTAAGTAAAATAAAATAATTAAAAAACTAATAATGTACACATAAACATAAGTAAACGTAATAATAACAATCAACAACAAATGATAAAGCAATCACTCATGAATAATGAGTAAAAAAAGTTAATAAACAGCACTATAATATAACCATAAAACTGCATTCGGATCCACAATTATTTCTACTCAATAGCCCCTAGAATAATTTGCAGCATAACTGTTAATTCTCACCCAATAACTATTACAATAATACAATAGATCACCTACCCATAATACACCTCTGACCAGCATATATAAATAGTCGAACCAAAACACAACACACACGGCTTGAGGATTACGTTTAAACATGAAATAGACTGTCGCCGCTGGTTGTTGACCTCAATGTCTACTTATATGTATATATATATATATATATACGTGTGTGTGTGCCTACAAACTCCTGAAAGGCGAGTTTTGTACTCTATCATTTATCATTCATCCTCAAAATACCAGCGCTAATATCAACACCCAAACATGAGCTTCTTCGAAAATTGCAGGTCTAGCAATCTCTCTCTCTCTCTCTCTCTCTCTCTCTCTCTCTCTCTCTCTCTCTCTCTCTCTCTCTCTCTCATTAAATGGCATAAATGCAAAGAGTCGTGACGTTTATATCTAACTAACAGACAACAATATTCCTCTACATGCTTACGGTAAAAATATGCCTGCGCCAAGGACGAATATGAAAAATAGTGCCAAAAAAGTACGCTTTTAGAAAATGAATTGTCGAGCCTTTTTTTTGGTTTTTTTTAATATCATCAATAATAATAATAATAATGGCGTTCGTGGCATTATTAATAGAAACCATAGACTTAAAAATAGTCTTAAAAAGCAAAAACTACAAAATATTTTCGGATTTCGACCCCCAGAACAACTACTCGATACAAGCAAGGCGACTGAATGGAATGGTCGGGAATAAAGAGAGAAACAGAAGCAGTTTATGTCGTAGAAGTGAGCGGACCTCAAAGTAAACTTGAATGAGGTGAGAAATAGATAATTGCCAAGGGAACTGAGAAATATATGGAATATAATGGTTAGAGTCGTACCAGTAATAATAGGTGCACTTGGATCAATGGCAAAGATACTGGAATCGAGATTGGCTGGGGTGGAAACCCAAAGAATGTATGAGACTCTAGAAATCACAGCGTTGTTGAGATCTGCGAGAATACCAAGAAGAGTGTTGAATAATAATAATAATAATAATAATAATAATAATAATGTGTACTTTCTTATTGACAATCCCTGAAGATTGTAATGTATCTTTAGAGATCTTCAAAAAACTATGAAAATACAATGATCTTGAAATGGAAATCTAAAAAATGTGGCACATGAGGACATCAATAATTACAGTTGTAGTTGGAGCCCTCGGATTGATTGGGAAATGTTCCGATAGATACATTGAAGGGATTCCTGGTAGCCCATGGCTTAAAGAAAATTCAAAAAGTAATACAAAAAAAATGTATTCACAAATACAGCTCACACATTACAAAGAGCTTTATCTATGTAGAATATGTGTGTGTGTGTGTGTTTTTTTCTTTTTTTTTTTACAAAAATGATCAGTGAAAAATTTCATGAAGCTATTTCTGACCTTAGGTCTCTGGTTGGGACCCGGAAGGAAATGTTAAAATCTTTGGGTAGTTGGTTCACAGAAAAATATGTGATTTAGAAAAAAAAAAATTAATAGTTGGTCCACAGTTAAACTTGTGTTTAAGAAAAGACTTTTAAGTAGTTGGTCCATAGTGAAAAACTGTTATTGAGAAAAGACTTTGATCATCAGCGAATATTCACTGACTGTCCCTGCTGTTGTTATTGAAGATAATACGTTTGGAGTCGCCGACACATGTTTCTTTCGTTACACGCTGAGCGGGGGTTGGGGATAAAACTCTGTAGCCACGTCTTCTCTTGTGTTTGAATGGCTTGGAGACAGTCGCATCTCTGCTGATGAAAGTCGGCCGGTTTTTACGATAATTTTTTCCCCGAAAGCCAACTCGACAAAAAATATGGTTTTAGTTTTCTTTTGATCAAATATCTTACATAGTGATGATAATTTGTAACAAATAGCACGTTGATTTAAACAGTGTGTGTTATATTGTGGAATCTTTTTGACATGTTTGTGTCTGTTATTGGATAGAAAATAAAGTATGGACTTGTTTTAATATGGTATGTTTGTGGTTATGTAATTTAACAAAAGACAAAAAGTATGACACTGAAATACGAAGGCACATTGGGAAAAATACGCTAAAAAAATACTGGCCAGTTACGTAATATCAGTCCTGCTATATCGCAGTAAATATTGTATTATCTTCTCACAGATGAAGAAAAGAAGCAACAAATGTGGTCTTACAGAAGGATGATGAGACTACCATGAAGGGCTTGGAAAATTTAATACTCACAGGGCAGATTGGAGACAAGAGGAATACAGGAAAACAAAGCATAACCTACCTAGCAAGCTTGGCAGAACAGGGTTTAGGAGAAATAACAAAAAGACAAAATTTACTAAGAGGTACAAAGGACCGGACGTTGTGGAGAGCCACGATCGCAAACTTCCTGAAGGAACACGGAACATAGGAGAAAAGGAATGAGCTTGAGTAAATGGATGACGGAACAAGGTTTAGGAGAAATAACAAAAGACAAAATTTACTAAGAGGTACAAAGGACCGGACGTTGTGGAGAGCCACGATCGCAAACTTCCTGAAGGAACACGGAACATAGGAGAAAAGGAATGAGCTTGAGTAAATGGATGACGGAACAAGGTTTAGGAGAAATAACAAAAAGACAAAATTTACTAAGAGGTACAAAGGACCGGACGTTGTGGAGAGCCACGATCGCAAACGTCCTGAAGGAACACGGAACATAGGAGAAAAGGAATGAGCTTGAGTAAATGGATGACGGAACAAGGTTTAGGAGAAATAACAAAAAGACAAAATTTATTAAAAGCTACAAATGACAGGAAATTGTGGAGAGCCATGATCGCCAATGTCCTAAATATACATGATACATAGATGAAGAAGTTCTTCCAAATTACCCATTCATTAAATTTTGTTCTCATTAAAACAAATTTGTGGTTAATTACTGTATCTTTTTTAATACTTTTTCTTTTCTTTTTCTTCATTTCTCATTTTTTTTTTTTTTTTTCTAATTCAAACTTTATTTTTCTCATGTCTTACCTTATTCTTCATTTTTTTTCTTTCCATCTTTGAATTTGTAGAAAGATCAATATTCTAATAATTTGATTCTGCCAATATCTAATCTTGGTTCCACATTGAAACCTTCTGACCAAGGACCACTTCTCTATAGAATTAATAACAGTTTTTTTATGGCTTATCAACCTTTTGCCAGAAAATATTTTTGAATTGTAAGAATTTTCTTTTTGAGATCATGATAATTTACTGATCCCAGTTCTATTTAACCCATAACTTAGGGGGAAGTGGATTTATACCTTTCCCAAAGGTATTTCAGCATAAGTGAATATAACAAACATGGCTGGTATTGGAACTCAGTCGTTCTATTTCCAATTCCTATTCTTGTTATCCCTTACACCACTCGCACATCCAAGCTTACTGCAATTAGTATTCTCAAGTGGTCACCCATCTGGGTGCTGGAAAAGCTCGACGTTGCTTAACTTCGGTGATAGTATAGAAACCGGTGTTTCAACGTAAGCCTATGTCTAGACATAGTAACTACCGTGGCCACAAAATGAAGGATCAGTTTATATATTGATTGTATTATAGAATTGATCCCCCATTTTATATCCAAAATATAATTTCTTGTTTATCAAATTAGGCATGAATCCACCTCTTCCTCACCCCAAAGGTATGGATTAATTAATAAGACTTGTATCACTAAATCATTATTATTTTCTTTAATTCTTACGGTGGAGTAATGGATAGCGGTTCGGATTGAAGAATCGGAGAGCCATTATATTCACTTACGTGCTAATACCCTTGGGAAAGGTATGAATCCTCTTCTTCTCTCTCCAGCTATGAGTAAATAGCAGGACAGACAGGGTTCTATAGCTTTGGATGGCAACTGGTCTACCGTAGAAAAAATGGCAACCTACTACGAGAAAAAGAAGTAATGGATAGCGGCTCGGATTGAGGAATCGGAGAGCCGAGTTCGAATTCCACTCGAATCCATTACATTCATTTAGGAAAGGTATAAATCCTCTTCTTCTCCCCCCCAGCCATGGGTAAATAGCAGGACCGGCCAGGTTCTATAGCCTTGGATAGCAACTGGTCTACAGTAGAAAGAAATGGCAACCTAATGCGGGAAAAAATATCGGCTCTGAGTGAGGAATCGGACAGCCGAGTTCGAATTCCAGTCGAATCCATTACATTCATTTACATTTTCTAACCCTTATGAATCCTCTACTTCCCACCCCCAAGCTATGAGTAAATAGCAAGACAAACCGGCTTTCTATAGCCTTGGGAGGCAACCGGTCTAGGAGAAAGTAACTCTGAATCCAAAACTGTATGTAGTCTTGGCGTAGCACATATTATACAGCTTAAGATTAGCTCGATGATCTTAACTAAAATGTTTTCTGGCTTTAAATAACTTGCAATTAGTTGATGACAAGCCATAGAAAACGAATCAATCAATCAATCGTTTCCATCTTCGAATTTGTAAAAAGATCGATATTTTAAAAATTTGGTCCTGCCAATATCTAATCTTGGTTCCACATTGAAATCGTTTGACTGAGAAACATTTCTCTATAGAGTTAGTGATTCATTGATTGGTTCTGATCCGGTTCGATGTTGCTTAACTTCGGTGACAGTAAGAGAATCGATGTTTCAGTGTAAGATGCCCGTAAGCCTCTAATGTCTTTCTTACGGACGATTTTAATGTCATTACAAGATGTTTAGTGTCCGTAAATAATAAAATAAAACCCAATATCATTCCTCAGAAACGGAACAGGAAGAAGAAACCGTATTTTTTAGAGTAGACGTCTCGTCAAGGTTGTTTGTCGAGAGAGATGTAATCAACAGCACCTGGATTTCATCCAGCTTCAAGCGACATACTATCAAAAATAGCAAACTCTATTAAAAAAAAATGAATATCTTAAACATTAATAGTAATGGAAACAGAATGAAGCGCTTTTAAAATAAAAAAAATACGAAAAGGATAAATACAGACATCTTCATTTTGATTCCCGTCGCTAACAACCTGTCTACGTTATTTGGCTCTCGAGAGAATTTTTTTTATGACATGCCGTGAACTTGAAATTATCGGTCACCTTGAAAAGATATGCAGACAAGTATAAATAAGCAGAAAATTGGGTAAATAAAAGGCTGATAGGGAAATACAAACGCATATGAACAGCAAAAAGGACCTTAGGAGAAAAAAGAATCGATTAATATGATAACCATTGTATGGTTGCAAAGGAAAGAACAAGCAAGGATTAAAATTTCAACAAGCGTGTATTGATCAATTTTAAGATTATATACATAATCCTCAATGCCAACATATGTAATTGTGTGAAAAGGTAACAAAATTGTTGATATGTGGTCCTTTAATTGCCGTTGTTAAGGGAAGCGATTAGGTGTAAGGGTGTTGTTAAGAAGGCCGGGAGGTGACGGATTTGTTGAGTTAGTTGACCGAGGTCATGGTGGCGACGACTAG